ATATCTAGTCCTTAGTGTTGTCGGGTGCTTGCTTGAGCTAGAGTTGAGTCTAGACTAGGCCAGCACATTGACTAGTAATTTGAACTATTATTCAACTTTGCATTTTCTGATTAGTACAATTGTGTTCCTTTGCTACTATATATTGTGCCTCCCAAGTTCCACATATATTCTTCTGGTCAGCACTGCTTTGATCCTTGCAATCGCCACATCACGTCCTTCAAGGTGTCACGAACCAGCCACTGGTTGTACCGTCCTTAGCATTGCTGGTAAGACACTTGTAAGAGCTTAGTAGGACGCTTCCATTTGCTTGTCTCCACTACAATCCATGTTCTATAGTTAATAGTTCTCTCTTTTCTATTGACAATGGCATGTGCACGTGATGAAAGTACTCTGGTGCAACAAGTGCTAAGTTCTCAAATGGAGAAAGCGGAGCAATGGCAGTACCACGAATTATTTGAAACAAAGTTTGTGGTTAAGGATAGAGCATGTCATGCTATAATTGATAGTGAAAGTTGCAACAACTCTGTGAGTTCAGATTTGGTTGACAAACTTGAGTTGCCTACACAACCGCATCCTCATCCATATTACATCGAATGGTTCAACTCTTGTGGTAAGTTCAAGGTAAATAGAATTGTGAGAATAAACTTTTCGATTGGAAATTACCATGACACTGCCAATTTTGATCTTGTCCCTATGCAAGCATGTTCTTTGTTGTTTGGTCAACCATAGGTATGTGATAATAATGGATCGCATGATTTTGTTGCTAATACATACACATTTAGACATAATGGTCGGGAAATGAAATTGGTACCCATGAGTTTTACTGAAATTTTCGAAGATAATCTTGAAAGGATGAAGAATGGAATCGAGGAAATTTTCAAAGATAGTATTGAAAGGACGAAAAATAGAATCGATGAGATTTTCAGACATACCAGGAAAGATACTAATATTGCGATGCCTTCAACTAAGTCTGAGTTATTACAAAACGAACGTATTGTTGTGCCTATTGCTTTGGATATTAATATGTTGCAGGCATCTGAGAACAACCAAGGTAATGAGGAGGAAGAGAAGAAAGACGAAGAGCAAAAAGATCTATCCATAGCTCCATGCATGCTTGAGGAATGTTTAATTGATCAAGCGCCTACAATTTCAGAAGATGAGAAAAAAGGTAAAGATAATGGTGCTACAACTGCTCAAGGTATGCATAGTTATGATGTGCCAATTATGTCCACTACTTATACTACGTTAGAGAAACCCATAGTGGAAACAATTGTTGAAATACCTTTGTCACAAGACAAATTGCTTGATGTCTCTTGTGATAAAGAAGAGTTGTGCGATGCTTCACTTATATCCATGCCACAACTAGTGAATGAACATGTTAGTTCTGTAGTAGAGCCACCCAGCATTGAGTTTAAACATGTTATTCACATTGATAGCGAGAATGAAGAGCTTAAATTGCTATATTCTTTAAATACTTGGGGTTATATTCAATTTAATGATTTTTGTCCACTCAACTGTTTAGAGAAAAAAATTATTTGCTAGATTTGAATTGCCATGCCGTTCTGATGTGATTTTTCATATTATTGGCAATTATGATAGTAAAGGAGAATATAATGTGCATCGAGTATATATTTGTTCTAATTTGACTATCATAAAATGTATTGTCTAGAGTACCGCATGCATATAAGTAATTCTCTATCTATGGCCATCAAGAAATGTTCCTCACCGGATGTTGTGATACATAAAGATAAGTTCAATACGCTCTATGACAAGGTGAAACCGAGGACGGTTTCTAATCAAGAAGGGGAGGATGATGAGGACACAACTAGCTCGGATATAACCATGACTACCTTATGTATTAATCAACCAAAGGTGCAGATGTTTTACATTAGATTTACATGTTATAAATTTGAACAAACGTTGCTACACAATGAGTTTCTTGTGTTTTTGTTTGCATAGGTACTTGCTTGGGCGAAAGAAAAGAGACCGAGCGTAATGAATTCATGAATGATCAAAGAAGTTGATTGGGACCATATCAAGACCTTCTCCAAGTACACTTCCATCTCATCACGTCACTTTTGGTCTATAGAAGACAAGAGATAAAGTTCTACACGTTTTGGATTCGGATTCGGGCCTCCTGACAGCATCAACTTCAAACAGACCTAGCCACTGATCTAGAAGGAATTTCGGGGCCCATGAGTACTTGTTGGAAAGCTTATGTAGTCTACTTTCAGATGGTTTTGGTCCCACATCAAAACTCCTACCGAGCTGCCGAGAATCTGCAAAACAAGCCACGCACCTCATCCAGTCCGAATCTGATTTTGAGTTTTGGCATTGTAATTGTGTCATGGGCTTAGCCCAAGGGGGTGTGCGCCCTAGGGCAACCCTAGGATGTCACTAATCATATTAATTCGGTAGCCGTCATCGTTTAGAGTTGTGTTTTGCTTAGATTATTCTGTCAAGAACAGTTTCGCCGCTAGATCGGTTTGTGGAACCCCAAATTCGTGTGCTTAATCATTCATATGCAATTTGATTGCAATCTATCTTGTTCTTGCCTGTATTCTTCGATTCGCATGCAGGGATTAGCCTTCTCGGCGAGGTCAACTGGGTTTCAGCACGGTTGATAACCAGAGGAGACGTGGTGCTGCGATTGCGGGGCTCAGTAGCGTGTTTGTTCAGAAGCCGAATCGAGTTGTGTCGCGACTCCGCCCAAATCGATTGTTTATCAATACCTATCGGAAGATCGGGACCTAACACCCTCATCAAGGTGGGTCAACCGAGGCGGCGGCGATGAGCCGAAGGGCGTTGACCATGGCAATGTGGAAGGGAGATTGTAGATCTGACATGTGATCTGACATGTGGGCCCAAGGGCATTTTAGAACTGTCACGCGATTTCTCTCTCATCTTTAACCAGAAATTATTATTTTAATAGATGCAATGTTTACTAGCAAATATCCAACTTTTGAGAGTTTCTTCCCGAAAAGTTACTTCACGCGGTGTCCTACAACTAAAATTTTGAAGTCACGATGTCCTTTTGCCGTGTAATCCCGTGATCGGTTAGATCACCGGTTTGCTCGTTATGGAACCCCAACATATCAATTGTATTCAATTCCTATTTGCAATTCAGATTGATTTTATCTTATTCTTGCTTCTTTCTTCGATTTGCTTGTAGGAATAAGGTTGATCTGCACCGACAAGATTAACTACCCACAGAGAGGTGTATCGATCGCTAAGACACAACACAACAACGTCTCGTACGATTGTAGTCGGGTCGGCAACGTTTCTCCCAAATCGTAGTTATCTTCAACTCACCGAAAAAGCAGGCCAATAATAGTCGTGGGTGCATTGAGTGGAGCTCAGGGTTCATCATAGTCGGTCAAACCTTTTTAACTAACTTAGCATATGAAGTATTAACTAATATATAAATGCTATGTAGCTACATTGATGACTTTATGTGCAGTTATTAGATTATCATGGAGAATACTTTCATCATATAACTTTATCTACTTATATAATACTTTCTTTTAAGAAACTGCAAGTAAAAATTATCATATTGGAGACCGATGTCAATGCTTGGAATCATAGTGAATATGTGATGGCATGAAAATGTATGCATGCTATGTACTACTTCCCTTTTATATTATAAAACAATTTGATTTTTTTCCTAATTAAACCTTTTTAAGTGTGACGAAGTTTATAAAAAATGTTAGCAATATCTAAAACGTAAATTTAGTTTATCAAATCTAATATTGAATATATTTTCATAATATGTTAATATTATGTTAGAAATATTGCTATGTTTTTTATAAAGTTACTAAAGCTTAAAAGTTTGATTAAAAAAATCAAAGCGTTTTATAGTATGAAAAAGAGTGTAACCGACTCTATAGTTCATGGCTCATGAAATCATCTCCAGCCTTACAGGTCTAGATTTTGATCGTCGCAACAATGTGGCTTAGGAAATGATTTCTGGCATCCTACAATCGATACTGGCTTAGAACTATGAATTTGGTGATTTGGCACGATTTTGAACTATGAACTGTGAATCGATACCGGCATTTCTGGCAGTTTCTCTCCCCAAGGTCGATAGCAGATCATGAATTTGGTGATTGTTTCCCATTGCGACACGTTTTGTGCCGTCCTTATAAGTTAACACCAGTAAGCCAAACTATGAAAATCCCCAATGCCACACTCCCAAATGCCATATTCCCAAAAAAACTTGAATAAATTGCCATTGGTACACCTACATTAGTTGATTTCCTGCCATTTTGGTCCATTCTTAACGCCACATCAACAGCCACCTCATGACACCATCAAGAAAATGACATTGATACCCCTGCCCTTTCAGTCCAATTTTTTTTTCGGGGACTTTCAGTCCAAATTTAACACAGCCCACATCAAATAAAACACAACCGACAGATGCACAATAATTTCACAAGCAAACACAGCTTGGAACATACAAATAGAATTTGCAAACGCTAGACAGATCAATCTACCAAAAAAAGAATATCAGGGAAAAATCCGATGCCAAACCAAAAGGAGGGAAAAACGAATGATCTATTGCTCTTTTACCTGGGCCACCGCCGGCAGAGTCGCTGGAGAACGGAGCGACGCGAAGTCGGACGAGGAGTAGGGACGCAAAGCCTAGAGCAGGGGGCAATGCAAATATCAGAGTTTTTCTCCTACTCCCAGTGTGCAAGGGCAAAACAGGGATTTCACCCCATCCAAAGCTGATGTGGCATAAAAGAAAAGAAATAAAATGGCTGGGAATCAACTAATATATGGATCTAGTGACAATTTATCTAAACATTTTGGGATGATGGCATTTGGGAGTGTGGCATTGGGGAAGATAGCAAATAGTAAAAAAAAATCCTGTCTTACCTTAGGTTCATACGAGCATAGAACTGATTGTGATACCCACCTTTCAAAAGTATCCTTCATACCTACCGTTAAAAATGTCTATGAACAAGCTTCTAAACTGATGGACACTTTTTTGCACACCATTACAAATTCTGAGTGATCCAGACCTCAGACGGGAATAACCCGTAGATCTGTTCTTTAACATCACAAAAGGGAACAGTACGCTCAAATTTTCCTGTTTTCACGTCGTACGTCCTTACACCTCCCCAAACACGCAGTCCAAGAAGCCAATCGAATGCATGTATGATCACGGGGGCAGAGAAATATATACAGTGAGGCCGTATCCCGGGCAAATTCTGGGTGGGTAAGCATGCGGAGTGATTCAATCTGAGGAATAGCGCATGATCCATCAAAACATTCCCCTGCACCACCCCCTTGCATCCATCCGGATCAACCTTGCAGATTTGGAACGCGATGCCATCCGGGTAGTGACGCGCGAGAATCACACGAACCTGCAGGAGATCACCCCATGGCGTCGACACTAGATGCCGAGTGAGGATACATCCTAATCCTCCGTAGGGCCTTGCGGCATAAATCACCTCCCTTGTTGGTCCGTTGCTCGCTCCATCAAGATCCCACTTCTCCACCATCCTGTGCAATGTCACGGCGTGGAACCTCCCCTTGTGGTACGCACAGTCGAGATATCTGTCTCCCCCGCTTAGAGTTGAAGCCACCTGCCACCTGCTCTGGCCTGCCTTGGCAAAAGAAAGCCGCTCGCCGTTGTTGTGGATGATCATCACGACGTAGTCGCCGCCTCTGGATGGACTGCAAGACAGCACTGCCTTTTGGTAGAACCATATCCCTAACCGATACGCTTCGAACCTGCTGTTTGTTTCCAAAAGGTAGTTCTCCAAGTTCCCTCCTTCGCTGCCATAGACCGCCTCCACGCAGGCGAAATCGGTAATCGGTGGGAGGGGGATCATGGCCAGTGTGACAGGGTTGTGGAGCACGAGATTGGAGAGGTCATTTGCCAAAACCAGCCAGCCGTGAGAGGCCCCGTAGCACGCAACAAAGGAGCCCTTTGGAAAACTGACTCTGTAGATCTTGTCAACTGCATCACCAGGGTGGTAGAGGTTGCAGGTCACCGCCGAGCGGCGCCTTTCGTCCAGCCTTTTGTCAACGTGGTTGCCCCATGACATGATCCATGGAGTGCGAGAACGCGGGACACCGGCAGCCGTGGCGGCGGAACTCCATGTGGTGCAGACTGCGGCGAAGGCAAGTGCATGAGGAAGCTCCAGTCGTTCCAGGATGATTAGGAGGAGATCAATAGGGAGGTCGGACAAGCTGGGGCTTGCACAAGGTCCTGCTGCAGCAAACATTGGTATATTGCGAATTAATATTCAGCACAAATAAAACACTCTGCATGCAAACATATTTGTTACTAGTAAGAGCGAACAAATAAATTCCATCTATAGTTCGGACAACAGCCCCTCCTGGTAAGCAGGGCTTATCGAATTGGAAAGGAACATTGAATCCAATTCGGACACGAAGAAACCAATACAAAAGAATCGAACACAACGATTTTGCAATTGGGGCTATCAGAATTAGAACCGGACTCCCACTCTTCTGGAAAACGATCTACGTACGCAACTCATGATAGGAACGAATTGGACGCCTAATATATAGCAAAAAAGAATTTAAAAGGAAAGCTACCCGTGAGATTGTAAAATTAATAACAATTTAATAAGAAGCAGATATAAAATTAATAGTTTTTCCATGTATAACAAGATAACAAGTGTTTGTCATCTCGCTAACGTTCTCTTTCAAGATTTACATGACCCGAATACTAAAAGGATATCTGTACTGAAATTTGTTGATGGCAAAAGTACATGTTTAGAAAGACGACAAAAGTACATGTTTAGAAAGACGTGTTAACATATAGCCATGTTATCAACCTGGTGTAAACTGAAGCATGTATCACGGTATGGTATGGAGAACATAATTACACGAATGGTGACGTCGTGTTGTACAAAGTAAGTGGACATTGGTGAGTAACATTCGGATCATCAATTTACTATCTTCTAGATTATGTTTTCGAATTAATTTTGATCATGAGAACCTACCTTTGCTCACCAGTCGGGAACGTCTTTATACACGATATTTTATTGCCAGGTCCCATAACCAACACTACAATCTTTAAGCAAAACTAATTCCGACACACTGGGAGAGATGAGAAATTGAGGAATTTTATGGACTGATGCATTTGTTGCTATTAATTATTATACTTGCCCATGATTTTTTTCATTAAAGTATGCGTCTGTTTTTCATTAGTATCATAAGGTCATTACATCACAACTGTTATATTACGTGTCGACTGTACCATGTAATAAATAGTGTTCCCATAGACCCTTTGTCTCATAAGATCTACACTCCCCTAAATATGTTAGCTATAGCATGTGACAATCCAATTATTGTGGACTGTGTAAGTTTATTTTGGTCATAGATTCAGAAAATAAAATGAGTTTGAATGAATATTATTTACTTAAATTGCTCCTAAGTTGGTTCAACAGTCTCCAAAAAGATGTGAGGCAATGACTGCAGTTAGTTAGTTCTGTATACAGAGTGTATTTGCCAGTTGCCACCCTTGCAATTATTTGAGGGGCAATACTTTTATGAAGCTTAAAAAATGAATTTCAATACATCTGCCCTGGCTTGAAAGTAAACATGATTTTATTTTTAAGATTGCATTTTAGTTTACAGGAGATGTACAGTGTAGCTAGGTCTGTCATTTTTATTTGTAAAACTCAATAGGTGTAACCGCTGCTATTTTAATGCATATTTCAAAACCATGTATACCACAACTGGTACTGTTAAGCAGTTCTGCATCAACACTGGTTATTATTTGGTTTTTATACAATACCACTATGTTAATTAGTGTGGAATCACTTACCCATGTCCTCTTAATAATTTATCCTCTGATTGCACTAATAAAATTAGGGTGCTATATGGCATAAGTTATGCACGCAATACACTACACTAAAATTCTGAATGTCTTGTAATAAAATTGTTATGCACGCAATACTTCTTATCAAGATATTCTAAAGTAAAACGTCTCAAATGCATTTACAAACAAGTTGACAAGCGGGCATATTACATCCACACAACATTGTATTGTTTCAGGTCCCTAGAAATATACCTAATGCTACGAGAGCTATTCATTCCCAATTTAGATGGTGAAACTTTCTTGAAAACAAGAATTAATCATTCCATATGTGCTTACCTTTTACTTTGGAGCAATTAGGCACGGGCAAGGTGATTCTTTCTGTTCCCTCAAGGCATTCTGTTTATACCCCTTGGAATTGGTTGGGCTTGAATCCAAAAATCCAGAGCATAAAACAATATATAAATAAACTCCCAATGAAATGTTTCAAAACTCCCGATCACAATAGATTCATTGGTCTACTTTACAATATCTTCCTCCTTGCCCTCTACTACATGCAAATGTAGTAGGACCAGCCCAGTTGAAACAAAAACGAAATTAGGAACTACATGAACCATCTATTTAAATCCATGGTTGTGGAAGTACCGTAGGTTAGGCTCGTATAAAAGGGTTAACTCAAATACATCACTCTTCAGTTATTCGCCATATGGGTGGCATGCTAACGCTACATACACCACAATTTAGTAAAGCAGTATCCTTTTAAAAATTGACAGCATCTTTTTAGAGTAAATGTGACACACATGCAGAAATAGATCATGTGTGAAACATAGATGTATACAATTGAGTAACCGGAGTATCTCTAGAGTAACTTTGATAGCTTGAATAACTGGAGTGTGGAGTGAAGTAGTCAACAGCAGAGCAGATTTTTCCTGATTCATGCAAAACTGTAAACGTCGGATACAAGGAAGTGGACATAAACTATTTTCATAAGATAAGATGCATAGATTATTTTCAGTTTTATTGGCTTGATCTCTTGCAGTTAAGTGCCATATATATATTAGTATTTGACATGTGGAACTATAGCCACGAATCCGTTTACTGACAGATCAAATCCTCCAAGCATAATTGACTATAATAAAGAACACATTGGATTTGAATCCAAGGAAACATATCACACATGCACGCCATCAATCACGGGTGCATGTACTCCAAATATACAAGGGTCTAAATATACATTTCACTGATATAGTACACAATAAATTATATTTGTAAATATACATGTGTCAATCAATTGGACAATATCAAATATGTTTATTTTTTGGGAGCATGTATATTGTACCTGATTGGAGCCGGCCTATGTAACCTGACGAATGAGTTTGAACCGGCAACGGCGCTTCCAATGGAAGGGGAGGTTGGCCACGACGAGGCTGTGTCCCTGACCGGACGGCGATAAGGCTTTGCTTGATACCGTGACAGGAATCAGGGAATGCGGCGGCGGCTGAAAGGCCGGATGAGAGTGATGGCACCTATAGAACCATCTTCTCAATAGAGTAACATAACAATGCATAGTAGTCAATAAAATCAGTTTAGGCCATACATCAGTGCTTGCACATAACCAATGCAGCACATTTTACATATTCAGGTGTCATTATTTGAAAAGCAATATTATGGCGTAACTCATCGAATCCACTGCCACACGGATAATAGACCCACCCTGGATATTTCTTTAAACAAATAGACAAAAGCATTATGGAATTTTCAGAAAGTACATAGTTTAGCTCATGTAAATTTTATATGTGGCTGGAATTAGCTCAAGGAAAGAACGAATCCCATCATCATGACATCATACCATCTCATTGTCATGTTACATTTTCAAGGGAAAAAATTATCACTGCAGAAAGCAGAACTTGGATATAACCTAAAAGTACCAGAAGCCACTTTGAAACTTGGATTAATTCCATTGTTGCAGCAGTTGAACGATATAATACTTGAAGGTTGTATATGCACGCTACTAATTAAAGCACTTCATCTGAATTTACAGACATAAACATCCTGATCATAAGAGAAATTAAATCATTTGCATTATATAAAAAGTTGCAGATGCTAATCAAATTGTTTAAAACAGGACGTCGTCATTGATAATTTAGTGTGATATGTGCACACACATCAGAAACATAGCACTGTCAATCCGCAAGTAAATGAATTGCCATTGCTTATTAAATTTTGGACCAATCGAGGAAAAATCAAGAAGAGGAAAGAGCAAATGAAATAAGAGAAAAGGATCTCCATGTACCAGGCAGAGAGGGCCATTGACACTGATCAGGTAGACCACTGGTGAATCGGGTAGATGATGGACACGACCTGGCGGCAGTGAATCGGCGACGGGGCTACGGCCGAGTCGGCGCTTTGTGTGGTGGCGGCGGTGACAGCGTGAGTCAATCTGGAGGCAGGAATCGAATGAGAAACACATGCAGATAATAACTTTTTGTGTCACACATGCACATAATAATTTGATTTCAATTATCTCACTGGTGTATTCTATAGTGGGAGGGAGGAAAATTAAACAGCAAGTACAAATTCATTTGTATTCACTATTTTATCTCTATTTCAGTAACTTTGAACAGATGCATAATAGCCATTGATAATTTAATATTAGGATGATTCATAGTAGAACGGAGCCGCTCCCTAATGATGAAGCTCACCACGTTGATCCAATGCAAAAAAAAAAAAGAACTAAACAATCAGGCCTGAAATGTTCAGACTGTTCATGCTTATGCTCTACCAATTGCTATACAATTAAAGAAGAAGATCCAAGAATACATATGCGTAAAATATGAGTTTCCACCTCACAGCAAGTTTCTTCTCTGACAAATAAAATGATCTAAACTCACATCACAGTAATAAAAATACCACAACCAATATCAAAACTTAAATACTACAGGACCTAAACCTAACTTATATCTGGATTGGATCGTAACTGCTGAAGGCAATACTACTCAACACAACGGTAGAAAATGTGCATTATCGTTAAAATACCTGCTCATGATAGTGTAACCTATAAAGAGATGGGGATTTCAGTGCATTCGCGTTTGGGAGGGGAGGAACCGGAATATAGATTTGGATTTTGCAGTGAATAAAGATGTACTAATTATCTGACGGGGAATTACCATCGATCCATCCAATCTGCAAGGTGCTCTCTACTATTGTGACCTTCTCGCTCCCGCTGTCCTGCACACACACGCAAATAACAAAGAAAAAAAATCAGAGAAGGGGGATTGGAGTCAAGGAATGGAGATAAAAAAAAAGGAAGGACCAGGAAGTCTGGGCCTCTCCGTTAAAATTCAAAGAGTTAGGGATAGGAATTTAGGAGATCGGGGATGGAGACCTTCAAGTGTACGATGCAGGCAAGGAGGCGGTCTTCGTGGTGGGACGGGCGTAGAGGAGGCGGCCGACAGCGACAGGGTTGGCGCGACGGAGTCTTGGCGGCATGGACCTCGGTGACTCATGTGTAGGGTATGGCGACGGGGACGGAGATCCTGACCAGCGAAGGAGAACGTGCGGAGCGGATGAGGGTTGCAGCGACGGCGGCGTCGGCGTGGATCGTGGGTGGCTGGGTGCGGCGGCGGTTGAGGGGGAGCGGCTGAGAAAGAGGCGTTGGACGATCGGCGGAGGCGGCGGTGGCAGAACGGCTGAGGCGCGATGGGAGAGAGGGGAGCGATCCCGCAAAGAGATGGGAGTGAGGGGAAATTGCGAAATCACGGATGAGGAGATCACGCGAGGGGAGAGGGGGGAGGTGGGAGCCACGGGATGGTGAGGGGATCGCGATTGGCGTGAGGCAGCGTAGTGGTTGGCGTGGTGGCAGGGCGGCGTCCGTTTTTTGCGCGGCGGTGTGGCGGCGGCGGCGTCGTGCAGTGTGCGAGAGAGAAGGGAGAGGGTTGCGCGCAGGTTGGGGGCGGCGAATCAGAGAGGGGCTGCGCAATCACGCGATTGATGGAGGGTGATTGATGGAGGTGGGAGGCGGGGATAGATCTATACCGTTCAATTTTACACAGAGATGATCCGGACCGTTCTATGAGGAATGAAAAAAATGAGTGATGAATGAATGAGTGAAACCATTTGTTGAACTATAGGGTAGACTATAGGGTAGATACACAGAACCCATAAATTTATGCACCGAAAATGCAGATTGTTTTTTTTCGCAAAATCTAAACCGAGTGCGCTCTCGATTTTGTGTTAAAGAGCGATGCACTCATTCGTGAGAGAAGGTCCAGTGCTTCTAGCACGTGAGAGAAGGTCCTGTGCTGCTAGTACAGCTACGTGAGAAAAGGTACAGTTGTTATTAGTGCACACAATGCATGCCTATTTTTTCTTTTTATAGAATTTTCTCTCAAATTACTTATCCGATCTACAATCTGATTACACCATTACGTTCGTTGCAATTAAATCTTTACAACAAGATCTTACATGATTATATTACGATGAAAAAATATTTCTATTTATAAATTACTTTTATTATATACGTAAGTTACTTTTATCATATATATAAGTTACTTTTAGATTTGACTAAATTACTTCTATACATTCATAATGCTCTAAGTTGATTATTTTTATTATTGTTTTTAGTTAATTCTTTATTTTGTGGACTTTATAAATCTTATCTACACTTTACTTGTGAATTTACTTTACATAGTTTTTTATTTCAGCTCACTCACAATATAATTATTTCTACTACAGAGAGTTACTCCCCCCGTTTCATAATGTAAGTCATTTTAGCATTGCCCATATTAATATAGATGTTAATGAATCTAGATATAATTTTAAATTAAAGTTACTTTCTTTTCTTTTCGTTATAAGTTACTTCTATAATATATGTAAATTACTTTTAAGCTTTACTGAATTTACTTTTATATGTCTAAAAAAATAACTTAGTGAAATCTAGAAGTAATTTAGACATATCATAAAAGTAATTTATGGTTTTTCATCAAAATATAATCATGTGAGATCTTGTTGTAAAGATTTAATTGTTACAAACACAACAGTGTAATCGGATTATAAATCAGATGAGTAATTTAAGAGAAACTTCTCTAAGAAGAAAAAAATACATAGATATTGAGTGTACTAGTAGCTTTTTTTTTTTGGAAAGAAGGGTGTCTCTCTTTAGTACTATCCAGCTAGCACTCTCGGTATAGTTGTGTTCTTCTTCTTCTTCTTCTTTTTTTCGTCCAAGGCCACTTGTGAGTTGTGGCTACCTGCAAGCACAAACCATCTGTGGGCAAGTGGAGCCGAGAGGACCTGAGAGCAAGTTTAATAGTATAGCTAACTGCTAGCTCCAATTTATTTATAGCCAATGTAATAGCCAATTCATATAATAACTGCTTACTATACTATTAATACTTGTTCCTACCTATCATACACATATTACGTCTTAGAGTCCGTGCTACAGCTGGCTACAGATCTGTAGCCCGCTGCTCTTCTCTCTCTTTTTTTATCTCTTTAAAATATGTTTATAGCTGACTTATCCTGCAACTGTACCTGCTCTGACACGACCATTCCAAACATATCGAAATAGCAAAACCCTTGTGTCGCCTTCCCTCCCCGGCAAACCCCTCCCGCCGACCCCCTCGTCTCGCAAGTCTCGCAATCCACCTAACCTAACCTAGGGTTTGGATTTCCTCTCGCCTCCGCCGCTCCCGAATTCCCCACCGCGCCACCGCCTCGGCCCCATCACCTCGTCGCCGGCCGGCTTCAACGCCACGATCCACCTCCCCTGCTCCCGGATCCCCCGCCGTCACGCCCGGGGTCTCTCCTCCTGATTCGGCACCACGATCCACCTCCGGGATTGCCGCCGCGCCACCTCCTCCGGCTCCATCAGCTCGTCACGACCGGCGTCTCTCCCTCCTGCTTGCTTCGACGACGCCACGATCCGCATCCCCATCCGCGATCGCCGCCTCCTGGACCCGGGTCTTCACCGCCTCTCGACTTCGTCTCCCAGTACGCATATGCAGCTGCCATGCCGACTGCTACAGGTGGGGAAGCGCCGGCTTCGGCGCAGGAGTGCACTTCCGTGGGTTTGGGGGCTAGATTGGTCCGCCTTGATGGCAACGCCATTACCACAGTGGCCGACCTTCAGTTGTCCGGTCCAATTCCTTCTCCACCTCCCCAAGACATTGATACAGCCACCATCATCTATGGAGAGGATATCAGGCCGGGTACCTACCTGGTTATTCATGCAGGAGTTGATATCCTTGACATTGCCAGACTCACTTTCCTTGAGGAACTACCGGTGGCTGCCAGGAAAGGGTATCCCACGGAAGCGGAAGAGGAGAAGGACGCCAAAGCTGTGGCACTGGCAGGCAGGAAGGGGACTCCCACTGAAATGGGAGAGGAGGAGAAAGGGGTGGTGGCAACGCCCCATCAAGAGAAAAACATGGAGAAACTGGAAGAAAAGAATAAAGAAGCTGAGAGGTTGGGAATGGAGGAAAGAGAGGAAGAAGAGGGGAACGAAAGATTGCGGGAGGAAAAACCATGGCACAACCAACTGTGGGGCGAAACAGTGCGGGAAGAAAAGAATTGGCACAATCAATTGTGGGGTGAATCAGTTGAGGAGGAAGACCATTGGCACAATCAATTGTGGGGCAAAACAGTGCGGGAAGGAAAGCATTGGCACAATCAATTGTGGGGCAAATCACTGCAGGAGGAAGAGCATTGGCACAGTCAATTGCGGGGCAAATCACTGCGGGAGGAAGAGCATTGGCACAGTCAATTGCGGGGCTGATCACTGCAGGAGGAAGAGCATTGGCACAGTCAATTGCGGGGCAGATCACTGCGGGAGGAAGAGCATTGGCACAGTCAATTGCGGGGCAAATCACTGCGGGAGGAAGAGCATTGGCACAGTCAATTGCGGGGCTGATCACTGCAGGAGGAAGAGCATTGGCACAGTCAATTGCGGGGCAGATCACTGCGGGAGGAAGAGCATTGGCACAGTCAATTGCGGGGCAAATCACTGCGGGAGGAAGAGCATTGGCACAATCAATTGTGGGGTGAAAGATTGCCAAAGAAAAAACATTGCCACCACCAATTGTCTTTGAGACTGTGGCCTGGATTTTCTCGTGCGGTTCTTGTTTTACACTGTTAAGTTTACCCCCTATAAGTTTTTCTTAAGGAAAGCTGTAGAAGTTTCTGCCGTTAATATATTAGGAAGAAGATAGCAAAGGGACCAGGCAGTTAGAAAAACAATTAAGTTCTTGTTTCTTGTCTGAGAAGATACTGCAATACATGTAGGTGTGTGTAGGAGTTGGATGTAGGTCTTTCTTCTTTGGGTGCTTTTGCTTTGAGGTGAAAGGACTTAAGAGTTTTCATCTGTATGCTTAATCCAGGTTATCCTAGAACGTTGCCCAATTGTTATCTTATTGAGGACGGTTAGTGTCCAAACACTTTTGATTTTTTTTAAAGAACTGCTGAATCTTCTTCTTCAGTTGTTAAGAACTTACGACTATCTTCCTGGGCTGCATCAAGTTGGAAAATGATCTCATCATGACTGTTGCCAACTGTAAACGAATGTTGCCCACATTGTCTGTTCCATCTTATCAGATCTTTTGCCAGCTGACCTAACTTTAGATGCAGCTTTAGGTAGGGATTGCATGTTACGACTGGTTTTTCCCAAGATCTCTTCACATCATATAAAACATGTGCCCACCTCTTACATTACTTCCCACCAAGAGAAGTGGGGAATGGTCTGAACAATTTGTCGAGAAGGTGTGCCATGGACGCTGTTGAGAACATTAAATCCCATTCAGTTGAACAGACTGCTCTATCATTTTTTTTTTGTCTGAGTTGTGTTGTTAGTTTCGTTTGTCCAAGTTAAGCGACGCCCATTAAGTGGAAATTCCTTTATGTGTAATCATGCCCTTAAAATGGTTATCATTCCCAAATTCAAGCGATTGTTATTTTTGTCTGTGGCCCTCCTGTAAGTTTTACTCCTGTGCAATTTATCTCATAATAGTAACTTGCTTTTCCTTCGTAGGCCAAGGTTCATGGAAAGCAACAAAATCATATAGCTTACAGTGGCTGAGATATGACAACAAAGAAGCACTTTTCGGATTCATAAATAAGGAACAAAACAGAAATATCAAAGATGCTGAGATTTTGTTAAGCACCATGGTAACAGTCATCTTTTATACTTGTCATTGTAGGGAAAAATTCCATTTGATTCTCGCAAACTATTTTGTGTCGCTTAAAATGAACATTTCTTCATTATTCTTTATTGTCTTATAACATTTAATTCTGTTGCAGACCTTCAATCACTGGAAAACAGGTTTGATGTGCAAGCTAGAATTTGAAGGACACCTGGTACATAAATAACAACTTTCTGATATAAGATGTTTGATACCTTTTCTGTTATTTATCGCATTTCATCTTACTCTATAGCCCAATCTCTGTGACAGTATGGGTATGGGATTAAATCCCAGCATGGATAACTTCAAAATCAATAAACTGTTAGGTAAGAAACCTATATATATTTGCATGCATTAAAGTGTTGCAATGACAATCAATCTTGTCAATGAAATCTTTAACAGGTAAAGGTCGATATGGGGAAGTGTATGAATGCACTTATTCTAATGGTCAATATGCAGTAAAAACGATTGATGTAACCAATTATTTTGACCACACTGAACCAAGGTTTGTGAGTGTTATCCTTCTCTAAGGTTTATATTCTTAAATATGCCATTTTCTAAGTTGTAAATTTCTTTATTTCAGAGAAGTCAGCATTATGTCTTGCCTTCAAGACGCAAACATTGTTACCTTTTACCAGGTACTCTTAAGTCCCTAACAAAAAGGTCTTTACACTTCTAACTGCAACTGTTAATTATGTTTCTGAATTTGAATTTATTAGGCGTGGTGTGAAAACAAGAAAGAGGAAAACAAATTTCATGGTTTTGGTGTACATGAGCCGAAATATATTTATATTCATATGGAGGCCTGTGCCAGGTACAAACACATTTTCTGTATGCTTGTTATCAATTACACTTCCCTTCAGGCCACATGAGAAACTACAGGCAGCTAAAAAAAATCCTTTTAAAACAAGCCGATTCTCTTGTTGTGGTTGACATGATTATATCTATAGAATAATGTTAAGGATGCTTCCAGAAACATGCAAAACTGTAGAAACGAATTTGAGAAGTAGCGAATTGGTTGAAGCATTATAATTCAATAGGAGCTTGTATTGAATAAGAGTCGATATATTCTTGGAATAAGAGGCCACTACGCCATTGCACTGTCCCAAGCGATTAGAATGACGGCTGTTAATCAACTTTTACAGCTTATAGACTTCTCCTGAAATTTTATATATCACATGCAGGACCCTTTATGATTTTCTGTGTGGAAATAATGAAGGAACAATTCAGGACAGGTGGTCTCTTTTTGAGAGAATCGTAAAAGGTGTAAGATGCATCCATGCTACTGGGATAATCCACCGTGACCTCAAGCCATGGAATATTTTCCTTGGACCTTGTGGCGCTGTTAGAATTGGTGATTTAGGACATGGTTGCTGGTCTAAATCTTACTGTGATGGTCGACGTGGTTCACCTGATTGTGGAACCATGTTGTATTCGGCACCAGAGCTCAGGAATGGGCTGTTGGTTACTGATAAGGTATTCCTTATCACAGTTTCACTTTTCAAACGTTTTCAACTATCAGTTAATAGTTTCACATATAATTTATTCTTGCTGTTATCGTAGGTTGATGTGTACAGTTTAGGAGTGATATATCTTGAGATCTTCATGCCTGCTGCTGTTAGTGTTAACAACAGAGTTGATGCATTGATCGATTTGATGGAAAGACGATACAAACCAGAATGGACAGCTTGGTCCATCGATATGGAATTCTTGAAGGACCTAACTGCTTTAAACCCATGTGACCGTCCATCTGTGGGTACAATTTTGGTACGTACTTACGACTAGCAATAAACATTAAACTGCTTGCATATAGCATTAATTTGATCATTTTTTCTGTTTTTATTTTTATTACAGGAATATATCGCCGAACACGCAAGTGACTGTTGAGTGCTAATGTCAGATGTGCAAAGATGATGATAATATCGTTAGTACGTTGTTCCAAAGAATAATCAGACCAAGCATTTAGTACTTAGTATTTTGCATCAGCAGACGTATTATTGATTGTATGATCAATCATTGTAGCTATGTAGTACCTAGCTTTGGTACTCGATGTAGATTTCCATTGAGATGAACTCTCATAATCTGAACTAGAAATTTCTGTCAATCCTCAATGTGTATTGTCCTATGATGAACTCTCACATCAGAAATACTCTCTCTGTTGTCCCAAATTAGATGTTTTAACTTTTTACTTGCAATGTTTGATCATTCGTCTTATTTAAAATATAGTGTAAAAATAAAAGAATGATAAGTCGTAGCAGTGATACACCCGCAGCGCTCGAAATAGTAAGTCAAGCGCCACACGCCGATCTCCCTTTTTTTTCCCTTTTTTCTCAACCTCCCTCCCTTCGATTTTTCCTCCCACTCTGTTTCCTGATTTTCCGTTTCTCTCAACCTCTCCCTTCTGAATTTTCCTCTCACTCCGTCCGATCAAAATAAATAGAGTAGGTCTGGCTCGTAACAGCGAGAGTAACAAAATTACTGCTTACGAGAAAACACCGAGAGTAATAAAAATAGAATCATGCTATACGTACGACCCATCCATCCAACCAGCTTACGACCCAAACGGTGTAGCAACACATTGCGAGACGGTGTGAGGATTCGTGCTGCATGCTGCTGACGGCGCGTACATCGACGTTGTAGTCGTCTGACAGAGTCGGATGTGTGGGTCGTGTGTGTAGCATTTTCCATAAAAATACTAATCTCGGTTTCTCTGTTCCACACATCCCTCCTATTCCTTCCTGGTTGTAATATAAGATAAGTGAGACCATGTAAATGAATAAATGATTTTGGTTTTCGCACATCCCTCTCGTTCCTTGCCGGTCCTAATACCAATCCTATTTTACTATAAAGTTATAACCCACTAACTCCTAAAGCTTAACATATAAAGATGTCACATCATCATCATCCACTGACAATCAATACATTTAATATCATGCAAACATGTTATATTATCTATAATTTAAAATTTATTACATTTTAGAGCTTTTAAAATAAAAAGCATGTTAAATCATCATCCCGCATAATTCACATAATATTTTAATATTGTTGATATAAAAACACGAGGCCTGAGAGATCTGCTTAACTCCAGTGCAGGTCAAAAACTTGCCTTTGGGTGTGTGAGCATGCCAGTTGATTTGATCCTGCAATTAACAAGAAATAAAGACAAAGAAACCATGATTAAATCCATAAACGATAGCCAATCGGCTAGGTGCCGATGACATATAATTTATTTTTGAGCCGATGTCATATATGCATCGATCGGCAGTCATTAATAAGTAAGAAAGAACTAAATCTACTCGATCGGCTGTAGATATTAGCAATATATAATCCTTATGTTGATATATACTTAAATCAAGTGATTGAGATAGATCAGTCGCCATGCCGAGACAGTATAAATCACTTAGATCGAAATAAATATTAACATCGAGAATATATATGTTCATAGCATAGCCGATCAGATAGATCTAGCATGAATCGGCTAATACTCCGATACCACTCTATATTAAAATATTAAAGCAAATAGAATATACCAAACAGAAGCCTAATATACTTAAATGCAACAAGATCTTAACATAAAGGGCAGATTTAACATGTCAACTAAGCACATAAGATAAATATCGTCAAAGGGCAGATTTAACATGTCAACTAAGCACATAAGATAAATATCATCAAATCAGGTAGGATCGGCTGAAACCCTGATGCTACCCTAATCGGCAACCAAAGGCAGGCTAGAGATTGAGATTCTAATCACGACTCATAAGATCAAACTCAACTGATGCAGCTATAAGTATGAAAAGAAGGACAATATCTAGATAATCAAACCGTTGGATGTGTCATAGAGTGGTGGATATCCTATATAATCTAAGTCAACATCGGTATTTAACCTAATCGGCTGCCTTCTACTGACAGATGTTAGCCGATTATAGGTTAGATAGCGATATTGCCGAAGATTATATAAGATATATGATAACTCGACGAATTAAATAAATAAGATTAGAGTGTCATGAAGATGGAAGCACTAATCCCGAGAACACAAGCCGCCATAACAAGTTTTACCTCTTGTTGAAGATCAGAACAGATGCAGCTCAACCCGAAAGCAAGAACTCGTCGAGACAAAACGAAAGTAAAAAAGGGTGGTGATGCGCCGAGATTGTATTGAACGTGTGTTAGTTTGATTATATGGGGCTCGGGGTCTATTTATACCCAAGATTACAAAATATGTCCATATCGGACACGACTCTTATCTCTAACAAACTCTAAGATACCATAAGTCTTTGCGGCAGACTTTTGTCCAAGCAAATCTCTAAGGAAATTACATAAAATATCCTAATTAAAAGATATAATTGCCTTCTCAGGACTCTATATCCATGCGTGGCAATCCTCATGAAGCACATCAACCCAACCCGACCACGTACGCCTTGTCATATTGTCGGATTCGGCTTAGTCGATTAACCCTGTCCAACTCAAACTCTATCGATCCTGGTCGCAGCCGATTCGGACTCCAGCTGATCTTTACTCTGTTTCCGGGACGATCTCCATCTCGAACTCCGTCCCGATTCCTTCTTCATCTCCGATCCTTGGATTACCAAATTTGGTCGTTAACAAATATATATATCTTCATTATTGTTTATAATATCTTATGTACCTATGTAAGTTCATCATCACTTGGTTAATGTTATTTCTCTCTTATCTAATTAAGCCATATCGATATCGCATCAATTGATTTTAGTGCTTATGTAAATTTATGTTGTTTAGCTATCTTACACATTATTTTTACTTATTGTTATCATACTGAAGTCTCGCAGCAACACGTGGAGTTTGACCTGGTTACTAAAATGATTATTACCAGCCTCTCCCATGTTGATACTACCTAGGCGTAACCGCCTAAGTAAAAAAAATAATATACAAGGTAAAAAATATAAACACTTTAGACGGTGCCCACAGTTTAAAAACATTACCAGCCCCGTTGATAAAAAAGGGATTTGCTATACCACAGCTTGCTGGTCCATTTATCCATTGAACCCATTCACAAGTATACTCCAATGGATCCAAAATTCTAAAGGGGCTAAATGGTTCGAACCCTAGAAAACTGAGAACATACTAATCGATCCAGACTCCTCTCGTTGCTAGACACCAAAAATCAATGGCCTATAACAATCTCAAGATATCGTCTCCATTAAGCATTCTCACGGACTGCGAGATCCATCATGTATTTATAAACATTCATTTTGATGAAATCATGATTAATAGGGTTTCCTATTTCCGTGTGTACATTGTTTTGTTTTCATCAAATACATGGTTTTGATCTTCAGTATATTTAACATCATTTATATTGTATGATCACAGCCTCCGTTATGTCCTTACGTTAGACGCCACTGACTTTTCGGTATATGTTTGCGTATTCTTCTTGTAAAAAAATATATATAACCATTATTTAATTTTTATGATTTATTTTATGTAAGTATAGCTTAAATTTTAAATAAACCAATGTTCAAACATACGCAGAAAAAATCAACGGCATTAAAAAAAAAGAAAAAACTGAAGGTAGGACAAATTTTTTTCTACCGTTGCAAACGCATTGGCGCTAACTGGTAGAAGGGAAAATCGCTCCAACAGTTCATCTACAAGCACCAGAAGTTTGCGGCCAGTACATTTTGAGTTCCCACAAGAGAATGCATTTGCAAACCTATAAAAATTCCAGCCATTAGAGTACATCCTGCCATCACAAAAGCAATCACCAGCAATCTCCCACCACAAAACAAATCTGACATCACTGCCACAACAAATACAATCAGAAACAGATTTGTACACCGCCATCAACACATGAATATCGATCTCAATGTTCCGAATCTTGAAGTAGGGTACCATAAAAATGATCGATACAAGCTTAAAACTGATAGTGAGTACCTAACTATAATGTCCATAGACATGCTTCTAAACAGATAACAATCTTGTTTTCTAATTATTGCAAATTCTGAGTGATCCAAACCTCAGATGGAAATAACCCGTAGATCTGTTCTTTAACATCACAAAAGGGAACTGCACGCTCGAATTTTCCTGTTTCCAGGTCGTACGTCCTTACACCTCCCCAAACACGTAGTCCAAGAAGCCAATCGAATGCATGTATTATCACGGGAGAAGAGAAATATATACAGTGAGGTCGTATCCCGGGCAAATTCTGGGTGGGTAAGCATGCGGAGTGATTCAATCCAAGGAATAGTGCATGATCCATCAAAACATTCTCCTGCACCACCCCCTTGCATCCATCCGGATCAACTTTGCAGATTTGGAATGCTATACCATCTGGGTAGTGATGCGCGAGAATCGCACGAACTTGCAGGAGATCACCCCATGGCGTCGACACTAGATGCCGAGTGAGGATTAATCCTAATCCTCCGTAGGGCCTTGCGGCATAAAAAACCTCCCTTGTTGGTCCATTGCTCGCTCCATCAAGATCCCACTTCTCCACCATCCCGTGCAATGTCACGGCGTGGAACCTCCCTTTGTGGTACGCGCAGTCGAGATATCTGTCTCCCCCACTTAGAGTTGAAGCCACCTGCCACTTGCTCTGTCCTGCCTTGACGAAAGAAAGCCACTCGCCGTTGTTGTGGATGATCATCACGACGTAGTCACCGCCTCTGGATGGACTGCAAGACAGCACTGCCTTTTGGTAGAACCATATCCCTAACCGATATGCTTCAAACCTGCTGTTTGTTTCCAAAAGGTAGTGTTCCAAGTTCCCTTCTTCGCTGCCATAGACCGCCTCCACGCAAGCGAAATCGGTGATCGGTGGGAGGGGGATCATGGCCAGTGTGACAGGGTTGTGAAGCACGAGATTGGAGAGATCATTCGCCAAAACCAGCCAGCCGTGAGAGGCCCCGTAGCACGCAACAAAGGAGCCCTTTGGAAAACTGACACTATAGATCTTGTCGACTGCATCATCAGGGTGGTAGAGGTTGCAGGTCACCGCCGAGCGGCGCCTTTCGTCCAGCCTTTTATCAACGTGGTTACCCCAAGACATGATCCATGGAGTGCGAGAACGTGGGACACCGGCAGCCGTGGCGGCGGAACTCCATGTAGTGCAGACTGCGGCGAAGGCAAGTGCATGAGGAAGCTCCAGTCGTTCCAGGATGATTAGGAGGAGATCAATAGAGGTCGGACCAGCTGGGGCTTGCACAAGGTCCTGCTGCAGCAAACATTTGCATATTGTGAATTATATTCAATACAAATAAGATAATCTACATGCGAACTGTATTTGTTACTAGTTCATATATAAGAACGAACAAATCAAATTCATCCATAGTTCGGACAAGGAATCCCTTCTGGTAAGCAGGGTCTCCCAAATTGGAAAGGGACATCGGATCCAATTCGGACACGAAGAACACAACGATTTTGCACAAAGATTGGGGCAGTCAGAATTAGAATCAGACTACCAGTCTTCTGGAAAACGATCCGCATCACACAACTCATGATTTGGACGGATTAAACGCCTAAAGATAGCAGTTTTTTTTTCTACCCGTGAGATTGTACAAAATTTGTTGCATTCTTGAGAAGGTACATGCGAAATTTACGAAACAAAATTGCTTTTTTTTAGAAGCTATATGTGAGATTTTAGGGGGAAAAATTGCATCTTTATCACAGAAAGGAGACAACAAACACTCATTTTGGAAGGATTGAGAAATCCGATATAGTCGCTGTGTATCGTAGTGTGATTTGATTGCAAGGTTAAATAAAAGCAGGCTTATTATTACTCACCCAAGGGCGACATGGCAGGGAGAAATCGGATCCGTTTGGAGGGATTCCTCCAATTATTTTACTGAATGAATCGGATCCAGTCACCGGGAATCCACGTTGGCCCAAGAGGGGAGGGCGACGAGCTCACCCTTGGCCTGAAGATGCGCCGGATCTGGCCGGTGGATCCCCGTCCAAGCAGAGGGGATGAAGGGGGAAGCACGGCCACCGATGAAGTTGATGCCGACCTCGTCTAGACTAGACCTCGCCGCGAAGCTTGTGGAGGTCGATCTGCCCACGGATGAAGTCGCCGCCGACGATACACCTCTCGGACGGGTCGTGGCTCGTTCAATTTGGAGCTAGGACGAGATTAGGGGTCTGTTTGGTTACTACCTGAACCTGAAGCAGTATTTATTTAGGTCTCAACTAACGCATAATAAGCCTGAAACTTTTGCTACTTTGTTTGGTTCAAGCCTGAGAAGGCGCTGGACGCAGGGCAAGTCGACTCAGGCTCAGGCGTAGTCTGTATCGAATATATATATATATATATATATATATATATATATATATATATATATATATATATATGTATAGTCGGTTACAATTTATAATTTAGAGTTGTAATAGGTATTAGAACTAGAGTATGAGTCAAACTTGTCACCTAGCAACTATGGCATCCCTGTTGGATTCGAGACACGTGGCCACGCACAAATCTTGGAACAACTTCATCTTCTACCTTCCCTTCCTCTAATCACCCGGCAAAGAATCAGGTTTCGAACGCTTCTCCTAATTACCCCGCATGGAACCGCTCATCCATCTCTTCTTCTTATCTAATTAATGATCTAATCCACCGGCACAAAATCGAGGGAACGCGTTGCTCTCGTCCTACAACTACAACACAGGCGATACTAGTAGTCCATCGCCGCAGATCATGAACCTGTTACCTGTCCAGCCGGCCTCATTCATCAAAAACAGATTGTTTCTCCATTACTTCCAATGAACTACGAAAATACATGTGACCAAAACGCTAGGTAATTAGTTTAATCACCCGAACTTAATATACTATTCAAAGCTAGTCATTTAATCTCCGATTAATCAAGTAACGGTGTAAATATGAACTCTATTGTTGATCTGCAAAAGAAAGTTCTGATAATTCACTTCGTATATGTGTAAGGTGATTTAATTTGGTGCAAATGAAAGTTCTGATAATTCTTCGTGCAAGAAGAGACAAGGTATAACTCACTTCATCGTTGTATGGTAGATTAATAGATTTCACGGTAGGGGATGAAGATGAAGATGAGATGGTTTCGAGATTCGTATAGCCACGTGTCTTAAATCCAACAGGGGTGCCATAGTTGCTAGGTGGCACCCGGTGCCATATAACTTTTTTTCCCAGACGCTATCCTAGGATCTCTCATAAATAGATAGACGTGTCTATTGTAACTGTATGGCGACTTAGCATAGCGAGAGGGAGTGGCTGCCGGCGGCGACTGACCATGAGTCGTTGTAACTCTGATATGCTGTAATATGCTGGATCGAGGAGGAGCGCCCGTAATCAGTGCCCCGGAGATGTAGGCTACAGGTGAACTCCGTTACCAAATATCGTGCCTCGGTGTCGTCATCGTGTTTGGATCTCCTATGGCGTTTTCTTCCGCGGTTTGGTTTCCGATGTGATTTCGGGGCTGGTTTTATAACACAGATTTGGTGGCCTCTCACTCAAGCAGCTATGTTAAAAAAAATTGATTACGTTGGGTTATGATATTCTGACTATTCCCTTCCTCCAGAGAAAACCTAATCTAGCTAGGAATGAAACACTATTCTCACTACTTAAAAAATACGTAGTGGTGATGGTGAAGCCAGCGCAGACACGCGATCCAACATAGAAACGTACATCAACACGTTCAGAGCGAAAAAATAGTGCACACTCCTCCTCCGAAACGAAAAAAAAAATAATCCGACCCACGCCCCGTGCAGCCCTCAACCGCCGACACGGGAGCAGGAGGTCGACGCGTGATAGACTCCAAGGGGACGCCACGGCATTCTCCCTCTCCCGCGTGGTCCTTCTCATCACCGCTGAGGTGCTGCCTCCTCGCCGCCATCGCTGCGACCCGCGCCGCCCTCGACCGCCGACGCGGGAGCAGGAGGTCACGCCGCGCCATCACCGCCGAGGCGCCGCCTCCTTGCTGCCATCGTTGCGACCCGCGCCGCCCTCGACCGCCGACATGGGAGCAGGAGTCACGCTGTGGCCTTCTCCCTCTCCCACGTGGTCCTTCCCATCATCGCCAAGGCGCTGTAGTCGCTGCCACGGGACCAAGGAGGTCTCCGCGCGACGGACTCCGGGGACACCGCGGCCTTCTCCCTCTCCCGCGCAGTCCTTCCCGTCACCGCCGAATCACCGCCTCCACGCCGCTCGTACACTGATCTCGATCTCCGCCATCCAGGCCGCCACCACCTCCACCGGTCACGATTGCCACGGAGGTCGATCCGTCGCCTCCGCCTCCGCCTCCCTCCTCGACGCCACCGTCTCCCTCTATAGGTACAGGTCCCCTCCTGCCTCACCCCAACCCTCCCCCTTCTTACTCTACCCTATCTATTGGCTTCACCATCACCCTATCTGTTGATGCAATTTTCGATTGGATGATATTGAATATGCCCCATGATTTCTTAGCTGCTGGGCTGTACTCCTGCTCACTAACTCAGCTGAGTATTTCTTCGCAGTTATAATGGCATTGCTCACTATATGGTTTGTCATGTCATGCTACTGCACAAGTAGCTTTAACTATAAGTGGGCATAGGGCCTCATACATCAGGAAAAGAGCAACTTTCATATACAAACAAATGGAATCATTTTTTTTTGCCCCATCAGGAAATGGAAAACACAAGTTGCTTTGATTTGTGATTGTTCAATGACTATGATTCTGAACGTTTAATCAAATGGTACGTTTTATTTTTCCTAAAGGGTTTCAGTAATCCATATTATTATCCATTTACTGTCAGTGCCACTAATCATGGTTGCTGCTCTTTCAAATATGACGTTGTGCAGCATGGAAATAAAAATGGTTTCTCTTTCATGTTAAAATAAGCTATGAACCATCCTGATATTAAATTGTCAATGGCTATTATGCATATGTTCAATAGTGACTGGATCAGTTATCTGATCTACATCAGTGATATAATTAAAATCAAATTATTTATGTGCATGTGTGACAAAAAGAAGTTATTATCTGCATTTGTTTCTCAAATTTAGATAGCAGGCCTAATCTTTTATCGAGCTAGGAGAAACCCTGAGTTCCCTGGTTAGGAACAACCTGGAGCTATGGATGATGAATCATGAATAAAGAGTTTTTCAGTGTTATGTTGTAGCGGCCAGAATGGAAAATGCCTGACCATAGCTCTGAAGATGAGTACATCTTTTGCAAATCTTGATCTGTGCACCTCTTCAGCTGACTGTCAGCATGAAAAAAATATGATTATGATCAGGCTTTTTGCAAGTCTTGGATTTGTGCACCTTTTTAGGGATGGATAGCAATATGCCAATATGATTGCCGTAGCTTGAGGCTTTGAGGTAGATGAAGAGTTAACTAGTTTCAGTGCTTCTTCCTAACTTTTTTTTTTCTAAATAGTTTGCGCAAAAGTGACTCATGCACCATCTGTGGTGAATAGGTCGGTGCCCTAGTATCTCCTTCTTGATGGAATTCAATATGCCAGTGTGCCTATTAGATATTATGCACACTTCTCTATTCAGCCCAATCAGACGTTGTCTCACTATGTCAATGAACCACTCCTAGTTGGACGTGTTCTCACTCTCTACCAGGGCAAACGCCAAAAGAACAAGGTGTAACCATGTATCAATCCCTATTACTGTGAGCAATGTGCCTCTGAATTTACCGGTCAAGAAGGTCCCATCAATTGCTAACACTGGCCTCAAATGCTTGAATGCCTCCACTGACTGCCAAAATATCCATGAAGCACGACCAAATACATGCCTAGGGACTCCATCCACCATTCTTGATTTCTCCCCTTGAGGTTGATGAGAACACAACTAGTTCGGATATAACCATGACTTCCATTTGTATTAATCAACCAAAGGTGCATATGTTCTATATTAGATTTACTTATTATATATTTAAACAAACGTTGCTACATAATGAGTTTGGTGTGTTTTCGTTTGCAGATGTACTTGCTTGGGCGAAAGAAAAGAGACCGAGCGCAAGGAATGCATGGATGATTAAAGAAGTTGATTGGGGACCAAACCAAGACCTTCTTCAAGTCCACTTCTACCTCACCACGTCATGTTTGGTCCATAGAAGACAAGAAATAAAGTTCTACATGTTTTGGATTCGGATTCGGGCCTCCTGATAGCATCAACTTCAAACCGATCTAGTGGCGAAACTGTTCTGTCATTCAACAAGGAAATGCATACTTGGGTTCTTACTTTTGATAGCATTCGGTAGCATAGGCAAGCGAAGGTATGCCTCGTCCCAATCTCCCCATATGACCTTCATAGCAACTCGCTTAGCATGCCAAGCTTTGTCGTACGTAGGCCAATAGTGCCATATGTGCTCAACTGCCTCTACAATAGCTACAGGAGACAATGTAGGTTCAGCACTAACAAATGTCTGTAATCTATTACCTATAAACCTCGAAGTTAGCTGCAAATGTTTGCCAGATGCTTCCGCATTAGAGCATGTGTGGTGTTTGCCTACACTAGTTATCCTCCACCTATCACCCGCCCTCTTTCTTGTACGAATCTGCCATTCACAATAACAATCAAGGCATGCCACCATGTACTTAACAGATGCATTGAACTCGTTACCATGGAATGGGCGGTGCACCCAGATAGAGTAGCTCTGCAACCATATTTTTAGCTCATCCATGGATCGAAACTCCAATCCCTTCCTCGGTTCCTCCCCCATTGCATCGAAGGCTCTATCGTATTGTGGATCACCGTCTGCAACAGCAAGCCTGCCATTGCTAAGGCCCTCGAATTGAGTTATTTTTGGATTTCAACCAATGATTTTCTCAAACACGGTCCTCTCCTCCTCCGACATCCTGCTGTCACATCCTGATTTTCATCTTAGGATTTATAAATTATTTAATAAATTATTATTAGAATTTATATGAAATGTTCATTAATTTACAAGTGAAGCTAAATGTGGGAAATAAAATTTCCTAAACATAAAGCATGGCTGGATTTAATTTTATTAAATTATCCATGGTTAATTATACTCTCTGAAATTTTCTCGGATTTTTCGGAGCTCAATTCTTAATTTTAATAATACAAAGAGCAGTTCAGCAATTATTTAAATAATAAATTAATCATTAAATGGTCTGATTATAACCTTGTTAAGTACTTTGAGTGTCCAATTATTTTCAGGATTGTTCTTGAAATTATTTGAGAATTGGAAGTATTTTTAACAATTCAAAGATCATTTCAGTGATTAATTTAATTGGAAAAGTAAATTGAATCCTCTTTTCCTTTTCGGGCCGAAACAGGAAATGTCCTCTCTCCTTCTCGGCCCATTCTCCCTTCCTTTCAGCTGGCTTTATTCCTCCTCTGAAGTCCATTTCTTGTCCCTCCAATCGGGCTGGAGAAAAAGAAGCCCAGTCAAGTCTAATTCGCTTCCCTGCTACAGTGTCGTCTTCAAGCTTGGACAGAGCCCGTTTGGAGGGTTATGTCCAAGTTTGAAGATGAATTTGTAGGTGAAACTTTTATAAATGTGTTCTTGGTGACTTAAAAGCCAATGTTGAAAAAGAAACTATATTGAAAATATCTCAAAAGCAATCTCAAAATTAAGCTTGAAAATTCAAATTTTGACTTTTTCTTTAACTGATTAGGCCATCCGATGGGAGCCTGAATTTGTAACCACGCACAGAATTCGACGCGAATTTGGATTCGTTTTCGAGTTTATCTCTTCACCAAACCCTAGGTTTTCCCGGCGCGATTCCTCGCGTTCTAAGCCCGATCTCTCTCTCCCATGGCTATAAATAGAGTCCCCTCCCTCTCCTCTTTCGGCCGCCACCTCTCCCTCTCTCTGCCGTCGCTTGTAGCGCCGTCGCCACGTTCGTCTTCTCTGTCCACCGCCGGCAGCCGCTCCAGCTGCCCCTAGCAGCCGCCTCGGCCATCGACGACCTGCGCCATCGCCTCTCTCGGCCCTGCAAGGTCAAGCTCCACCCCGTCCACCCCTTACCCGAGGCCGAATCCCGCCGGAAGCTTGCCGTCACCATGAACCAGTGGGTTGTTGCCACGGTTTGGTCTCCAGCCGCGTCGTTCGTCATCGTCCGTCGTCGCCTTCGGTCACTGTCACTTCCTTTGGATTCGCAGCTGTGAGGAGAAGCCCATCCATCCCTCTGTTGCCGCCGAAGATCACCGGAACATCGCTGTCGTTGTCGATCAGTACCTTGCCGCCCTTTGGAACTCGTCACCGGCCATCTCCTTTGCTGTCCGTCGTCGTGTAAGTGTTGGTAAGGATCGTCGCGTTCTCCTCTTCCTCCCTGTGCTCATGGTTTCCGCTGTCGTGCTGCCGTCCACCGGTGTAGGTTTTTCCCTAGGGTCTTAATCCAATCTAACCTAATCCGTTGTTTGTCTAGTGTTGTTGTCGTCTCTGTGTGTTGCCGCTGGATCGTCATCGTTGTCTCTCCCTCTCCGATCGTTTTGGTTCGGTGAGACTTCTATCCGTGTTCCCTCGGTTAGGTTTTAATCTCTAGTTTGTGTTGTCGAGTAGCCGCCGTCGTGTCGCGCTTAGCTGCTGCCCTAGCGTCACCGCTGCGCTAGTCGCCTAGCCGCCGTTGTGCTGCTCTCTGCTATAGCCATGCTGATGCTGCTGTGCGAGGCCGCTTGCCGGATCAATCCAAGCCATCCGGTCTTGGTCGACCCGGTCAAGGTTAATCTCAGCCATCCAAAATCAATATAAATCTTGTTATCCCTTTTCAATGGCATATTAGTTCTTTTTACTGTATATCGTCTACTAAATTCGTTCCAATAATTTCCGGAGGATGTTTTAGTCTTATATCTCAGTCATAAATTATTTATAAATTGTTTAATTAAATTGGAATAGTCTTTTCTTTAATAGTCTTTAATTGGAATTAATCTTGTAAAACATAACTAATTCATATGAAGTTGGAATTAAGTGGTTCAAGTCTCTAAATTCATCTAAAATCTTGATCTACATATTTGTTTATTTTTATGTACTATTTATTTGGTTTTTATTAGTCTTTTTATTCGTTTTGCGTGTTAGCTTGTCGTTTCTGTCGTTGCGAAGATTTGTGAATGCGTCGGAAGTGTTCAAAAAGATTAATTGAAGACCGATTATTGCAAGGCAAGTCACACAGATCCCAAACACAATCCTTTGAGCATGTTGATCCTATATTTAAATTCTCTATTTATTTCAACTGTGCATTTATTTTCGAATGTCACCGGGTCGTGTGAACCTATTCCTTTGTTTATGGCCAATTTGCATTGATTACCCTATTCCTTGATACCTTGGGTAATAAATTGATTAGCTTGAACCTTATATATTGGTTTGGTTCAGCTAAATGCCATATATATATAATTGCTTAGCCATGCTTAGAAACATTAGTTCATTAATGGGATGAATCATACTACATTATTATTTATGATTATGTTTAATGGTAGCTCACGATGGTTAATCGTATTATGATAATTAATTGATAATTAAAAATTGACAATGGTGGGTTGTGAGCACATGGTTTTGAAGGCCGTGCTCATGACAATTAAGGATCGGTTCACGAGCTACTGTTGTGAGACATTAACCGTGCCAACCACAAGCCAGCGTGGGCAACGGCTTTACCTTTTGTATAACATGGTTCATTACGGGGCACCAGACTGAGAAGCGGTGAGAAGTCCGTGGGGGTCGCTGGGGAGTCCATGCCTCTTGTTATATTTATAGAGGGGGTGATTATGATCCAGGATTGATGCACTGTGGTGAGTTGTGTTGTGTGAGGGGTACTGTCACAGTTCCTTTCCGAGGTACCGTGGTGGTATTGAGGTGCATGGTGACATGTCGTGGAGCTGTATCTTGTGGGTATAGTGGTACACCTCTGGCCAGAGTAAAACTATTCGAATAGCTGTGCCCGCGGTCATGGGCGGGTTGAGCAGTGTTTTTCGTGATTAGTCTCACACCTCTCACAATAATTATGGATGCTATAACTGGTAATAATTTGCTTAGCTCCTGGTTTGGAGTTAGATCTGTACAGCCGGGTATGGTTGTTCAGTATGGTTGGGCCTGAGCAGCATGGGTGTGCTGTTCAGTGTTGATTAAAATTGATGATTAAATTACTCTATTGTTTTACTGTTCTTAAATGTTTGCTATATGCTGCTTTTGCAAATGAGCCTATATTATGCCATCCTTTGGTATCCTTGTGCACTTGCATATTTGCTGTGTGGCTTGTTGAGTATGTTATATACTCACCTTGCAATAATCAATCAACCTCAATTGAAGAAAAAGGATCCAGAAGGAGAAGAAGTTGCTTATACCCCAGTTGAGCTGCCTGTGGGAGTGGAGCTGAAGCCATCGCTAGACCGTTAATTCCGCTGCTGTTTTTTTTTTCTTTTGTAGTATGTAACGATGTTATTATGATGGATTTGTATATTAAATTGTCAGTTTGTGTACCTCGGCTGATTCCTGGACGAGGATTTTATGCACAAATTAGTTCGGAAATTATTAGTGAATTTCCGGGCGTGACACCTGCCCATTAGATGATCGTCATCAGAAAGAATCAGATGCAGACTCATCCACTTCATTGTCCAAATCAGCATACAACAAATTCGAGTTTAATCCATTAAATATCATGTTTTCCTCACACTCCTCGCGAGTGTAAATTTCTTCATCAAGCAAGTCTCTGATGAATAAAATCAACCGCCTCTCGTCAAGTTCAACTGTATTCTCATTATCTGATTGATTCACATCCATACCATCATCTGACATTTCCTGCTCTACCTCCCCATCCTCCACATCCCGGTGCCTCTCCTCACCTATATCCACATCCTCCTCAACTTGTTTTTCATCCCCTACCTGCACATCTCCCTCAATTAATTCTTCCTTCCAATCCACCACGAACACATCTTTATGTATTTCGTCCCCTACCTCCACATCTTTCTCAATTAATTCTTCCTTCCGATTCACCACAAACACATCATTCTTTAATTCATGACAATACATGGGGGATTCTATGTGCGGACTTTCATTGAGGTCTAAAAATTCTTTCGTCGATTCCCTACGCTCTTTCTTCCAAGCAAACACCTCAAGCGATTTGAACTGTAAACCCAAGACTATATCTACATATGTTTCCCATTCCACCTCACCATTCAAATTTAACATGAACATATGCGACATTGCACCAGCACCTATATCATATATCCCCTTGCATACCAACAGACTCATCACTCCAATCCAATTTATCCTTCGTACGTGAAATTAACTCATCAAATATGAGTTTGGCACGAAACACTGACTGCCTGACTAACATCCCCTCAAATTGGCTACCATCGGTACTTTCATCTACCACACTGCCACCAAAATGGAGTCATACCAATCTATCTATCTACATCAAATAACCGATAAATAAGAGTGCATTATTCTACTATGATACGTCGCTATAAAGATAGAAACTTGACATGGGTACCCCAGACCTAATGAAAAGATTTTTGAATTTCGAACGACTAACCACCAGTCTCGATGTTCCTAGGATCTATGCCAATCAACATCAACATTAATCAATATGAATCCCCAAAATATTTACAATACAACGGCTCTACACATCCATCTCAACTTCACCATTAGCAAAATAGTGCATAACTTACAAAAAAAAACTATATGAATCCTCTATACTAACATCAATATACAACTATAACGTCGCATCGTTAGCCACATTCACTAATCCACACCACAACCCGAGCAACATTTAACAACCCATGATTTCAACCAAAATACTCTATAAAAATGAGGGAAACATTGAGGAAATTAGGCTTTTGGAGGGGATTTACCTTGCAAACCAATATCCAAAGCAATGCTCACTAAATAACCTTCGATTTGAGGTGGATTTGAGAGGATTTTTGGAGGGGAGGAAAGAGGGAGTTGCGCCTGCGGAAGAACCCTAGCCGAGTGCGGGGAAAAGAGGACCAGTGACGGGCCGGGGCGGCTCAGCCACGAGGTAAAGGCTGCTACCTCAGCGCCAACATGCCTGGCGCTGAGGTTAGCCGCATCAGCGCCAAGGCGGTTGGTGCTGAGGTCCCTGCCACGTCGACGTGGGGGAAAGGCTGGGCCGCCACGCTGGCAGGGCTCAATGCCGATGCGGCTGGCACTGGTATGGCCAACCACAGCACCAAGCACCCTGGCGCTGAGCCCGCGGCCTATTTTTGGATGAAGTTTTTTCGCGGGCGAGTTTCGAAATAAGTTTTTCAAAAGGGCCAATTTGTCAAAAAAAAAAAGACGGGCTGGTGTTATAGTATAGTATGTATAGTACCATAAAAATCAGAACATATGGAGTAACACGATTTGTACTCATACCCATCTACCCAACAGGTATGAATTTTTATCTATTAACAGATCCGTGGGTAAAAAAATTAGACCGTAGAGTAAAACAATTTCGGCTCATGGGTTATTGGACCCTGTTGCCTTTTCTAAACACGAGGAATGGAAGATGTGATCGAACAGAAAGCGCTTGAAGACAGCCAGTTTTTTGCTACACTTGGATGGTAAAGGCACATTAGGCATCTATAAACAGCAGGCTAAGCCAGTGGATTTGAAGTTCAAACCCATAGTTTAAGGGAGGCTTTATGCTAACTTCCACGGAAGGAAAGAAGCAAACAAGGGCATATGGCCCATGCACGGCAAACCCAAAACTGAAAACTCACACGACACACTATATCAGAACTCTCATGTGATGCTATGTATATATATATAGAATTATAGCTAGACATCTCCGAGAGAAAAAAAAAAACTAGCAAACCATTGTGACAGTCTCAATTTTGCATTTTTGCTATACTGCTTGCAGATCCATGGGGCGTTGGGTTAGGCCTGAGGTCAGTATACAGTCTCCTCTTAATATATTATTCTGCACGATTATTTTGTTGAGATATTGTACTAGTCAAGAGAGGATTCATCATTTTCCCCAAAATTGGTTATCCACTTGGCTTTTGTCCCAACTTGGATAATTTTGGTAGATCTAATCCACAATAGATCGATGAACTACTTAACTTAGGGTCTGTTTGGTACAGCTCCCACTCTGAGACTCTAATCTCTTGAAGCTAGAGTTGTATCAAATACTTTCGAGAACTTGAATAATAAAGAATGGAGCTTTTATGCCGTTTCTGAAAATTAATTATACTATGAGGGTGAAGCGACATTTCTACCGCTCCTCAATTCCGCTCCACCCTTGGAGTAACAGCTGTGCCAAACGGGCTTAGTTTTGCTCCACTCTATGTATTTACAAGAAAAAAACCCAATTTTGCACGCGCCAATCTCCTGCCACACCCGTCTACTCTTACCAAGGTTGACAATTTTTACACAAACTGATCGAAACCACGAACTTTTGAGGTTTCGACATGGGATGAAAGCATATCCCGAATGAAATTTCAAATGGTTTTCAAGGATTCAATTTTGGAACGGCAAATTCAACCAAAATTTGATCGAAATGTGGTGAAATTGGATCATTAGTGGTCAGTATCTGGCGCTCAATTGGAAATGTGAACCCGGACTATTACTCATGCTCATGAATTTGTTCTTTGTATTCCCGCAACTCAGTCCTGCTACACCAGCTCTGCCCACCTAGCTAGTTCCCTTGTAATGGCATCCTGCCGCATAAGATTGAAAGTGGCTTACTCGTGAAACCCACTAATTTTCTGATGTAAAACTTACTAATAGATGACAAAAAGCTACGAAACTGTTTATTTTGATCAACCAGTGGGTTCGTGGGTTAGCCACTTAAACCCCTACCCTCGCATAGTAAGAGAGTGAATAGTGATAGCGCATGCATTTGGTGGCTTGTTTACTGTTAGACCTGAAATAGACCGCTCAGATCAAAGCACATTACAGTAATCAATAGAGTAAATTTTCCCGACAGGTAAATCAGGCAGTGGATCGCAGCTGCATTAAACTGCCATTAATTGTTTCATGCGTTGAATCACCGTAGAGCAATTTCAGTTTACTGTTGCGGGATGACTCCGTATTACAGCAGAATGAACTGGATCCGCATCGGCCATGAGCTGAGTAGCGTCAGAGATGGATAAAGTTGACAGAATTAAAGGCTAGGATGTAACTGCAGAATAGTCCGTCGTCTATTCATTGGAAGAATGGGAGGAGGGGAATATTGGTAGGAAGGATGGAGGATGGGAAAAATAATGGGATAGAGGGCTGGTAGGTTTGGGCCGGGGACAAGAGCTACCACGACTGCACGAGCAGCTGGTTGGTTTGGGCTGCGGCCCATTTCCAGCAAGCGGTAGCAGTAGTTTGTCGACAAAAACTCCTTGTATACCTCAAAATTTTCTCTAATCCTTTTTATATCTTCAAGTTTTAATCATCTCTCTTAGGGCTTGCAGCACAGTACCTACATTTAGTTCCATGTCTACATTTTACTTTCCGTGGATGTAGATTTTTTTCATTATTATACGAAAGACGCATACACGCATACAAACATATATACACCACTCACTTAAATACTATTAAGATCGTAACCGTGTATACATAATATATACCACTCCCTCCGTTTCAGGTTATAAGACGTTTTGACTTTTGTTAAAGTCAAACTGCTTTAAGTTTGACTAAGTTATTATGAAAATATATTCAATTATTAATTTTATGAAACTAATTTAGTATTATAAATATTACTATATTTGTTTATAAACTTAGTCAAACTTGAAACAGTTTAACTTTGACCAAAGTCAAAACGTCTTATAACCTGAAACGGAGGGAGTAGATAAAACCCGGTACATTGCTACAAGATAATTGTGGGACAGTAGTAGATATGACCTGAAAAATCTACTTCCATACTTACTATACATTTTTCTTTCATATGCTTTTTATATCGATCTAAAGGTTATAAATGATTGTGATATATGGTGGGGCTTTTGAAAAAAGAGAGACAATTTACATCTTAGGCTTCATAGTTAAAAATATATAAAGTGATGTGTCTCTATATGAGAGAGAATTAATATTAACTTACAGTTTTACATATATATTCACTAGTACAGATCCTTATATCTGTAACGGGCTTTACATGCCTGGAAATAGCGGGCCGTCACAAGAAAGTCATCTCAATCGGGCTAAAAAAGTGCCCGATTGAGATATGGTCGCACGGACATATTAGATAGACATAAAACTTAAGCCCGTCACGGATGACACTTATCAGTGACGGGCCGTAATTTAGGCCCGATTGAGATAACATTCCATATCTCAAACGGGCTTGAAGTTGGGGCCCGTCACAGATGACCATCATCCGTGACGTGCAACAACTTAAGGCCCGTCACAGATGACTCATCAGTGACGGGCTATATACTAATCCCCGGTTGACATGACTTAATCACTTAATCTCTATCGGGCATTAATTAAAACTCGTCACCGATGAGTATTTTTCTATTTTTCATATGAAATATTTATATTTGTAAGTTGAACTATAGCAAAATAATTAACTTGCAGTATAATAATTCATTTTACGAGTCAAAATAATTTTATGGGTAGTAAATAATATCAAATAGAAAAGTCATCAACAACAAAGTTGTATAACTCATCAATATCTATAACTTTAATTTTGGTCATTTTTCTATATAACATTTTTTGAACAGTTTGAATTTGAATTTGAAAATATGACAACTTTAAACAACATTTTCAAATACTAAATGATTTCAACTGAAAAAGTTATCAACAACAAAGTTGAATAACTCATCAAGATCTATAACTTTTATTTTGGTCATTTTTCTATATAACCTTTTTTTGAACCGTTTGAATTTGAATTTAAAAATATGATAACTTCAAACAATATTTTTAAATACTAAATGATTTCAACTGAAAAAGTTATCAACAACAAAGTTGAATAACTCATCAAGATCTATAACTTTTATTTTGGTCATTTCTTCATCTGATAAAATGTTAGTAACATTGTTCATAAATTTTACATATATGTGTATAGTTTATAAAACCAGATAAGAGATATGTCAATTTTATGAACAATGTTACTGTCACTTTATCAGATGAATAAATGACCAAAATAAAAGTTATAGATCTTGATGAGTTATTCAACTTTGTTGTTGATAAATTTTTCAATTGAAATCATTTAGTATTTGAAAATGTTGTTTGAAGTTGTCATATTTTTAAATTCAAATTCAAACGGTTAAAAAAATGTTATATAGAAAAATGACCAAAATAAAAGTTATAGATCTTGATGAGTTATTCAACTTTGTTGTTGATTGACTTTTTCAGTTGAAGTCGTTCACTAATAAAAAATTCTATTTGAATTTCTCAAACTTTGAATTTCAAATTTCAAATTGTTTAAATAGAGTGAGATGGAGAAATGACCAAAATAAAAATTTTGCACCTCGATGAGCTCTACAACTTTGGTTTTGGTGACTTTTCCATTTAAAATCATTTATTAACCCTAATTTTTCTTCGAAGTTGTCAAATTTTGAAAATTCAAAATTTGAATTGTTCAAATAAACTTATTTGTACAAAGGACCGATACAATAGTTGTAGATCTCGATGAGTTATACAATTTTGTTGTTTATGATTTTTGATGGTTGTGTATGTGAATGAATGTATATGAATGGGGGATGTTGGGGTGTGATATATCACGGCCTAGGGCTTAATAGGATTAATAGAATACTCATACCAACAAACTACAACTATTCTTCCGGAAGCCGATCTTCAAATAACTTTGATATTAAGCGTGTTTAGCCTGGAGCAATTTCCTGATGGGTGACCGATTGGGAAGTGAACTTTGTGCAAAGTATTGGCCTGAGAAGGGCGGGACGGCATGGAAAGGCTCCGATTGGGAAGTGAACTTTGTGCAAAGTATTGGCCTGAGAAGGGCGGGACGGCATGGAAAGGCTAGCCAAAAATAAAAATTTATTTTTTTTAGGATTATACTCATCAGTGACGGGCATTAACTTAGGCCCAATTGAGATGACTCATCTGTGACGGGCATTAACTTAGGCCCGATTGAGATGACTCATCTGTGACGGGCTATAGTTAATGCCCGTCACAGATAAGGGTCATCTGTGACGGGCTATAGTTTAGGCCCGATTGAGATAGGTCATCCGTGACGGGCTATAGTTTGACATGTCGTCTGGGTTAAAGCTATCAGTGACGGGCTTTAATTAGGGCCCGATTAAGATAGGTTCATCCGTGACGGCCGTTTGCCCGATTGAGATAATTTTTCACATCAGTGACTTCTAGCCTGTTACGGACGCCGTACCCGATTGAGATGGGGGTTACCGCCCGATTGAGATGATGTTATCCGTTCTAGTGATTCAAAATATTCCATTGTGTGGCAAAAGGAAAACTTATGGGGCAAATAATACATTAATTTTGCCTAGTTAATTACATGCGTGCCATTCACATAGATGTAATAATATATATACAAAATGTATTCCCCTGGACGCTGCATCTATTACCTACATATGCAGGTTTATCCTCTGATGGCCGCGATGATGTTGGCATCGGGCATGGTTGTGTTCCAGCTTGGGCGCAACGTGTGCACCAACCCTGAAGTCAAGTATGTCAATGCAAAACCTCTTCCAACCTAACTAGCCTAGATTACAGAATGTCAATATACTGCCTCTAGGTTAAGAATATTTATCATTTGAGATAAGAGCTAATATCAAACTTTTAAAATCTTTGAATATAAATTATTTCTAAAATATTTTTAGACCATATATATAGATTAGCAAAAAAGTTCTTTAATTAAATTAAATTATATATCTATTAATATTTCTATTATATATATTATAATATAAAATAGTGGTTATAGTTAATCTTTTAGCGTTCTAGTCAAAACCACCAGTATTATCAATCTGCACTAATTAAGTTATGGAAATTTAACTTCTAACATGTATTTTTTTCGGCTATGCTCTAAATAGGATCAGCAAGCGCAACCGCCGCAACGCAGTGCCAGACAGCGCGGCGGAAGCGGAGAGGTACAGCATGCATGGTTTCCGCCGCTTCTTCGGCCGGCGTCGCCCAGAGGTGATGCCCTCCATCAACCGCTTCTTCTCCAACTCCGATCGACCCAATCATGATGAGAACAATGATGATTGATGAGTAATTCGCATTATGTGGTGTATTTGTTCGCTATAAGGACCAGCGTTATGTGACGTAATATGGTTAGATGTGAACTGGTTTATTATTTTAAGAACTCGGCCTGTGTGCATGCAAAAAAGAAAAAGCAAGATTGGTAAATGTAATGTACTTTTACTTTATTTGTTGGTTCAGCACTTGATTTTTTTCTTTTATCAACAAACTTACCTATGTGAGTGTTGACAGAGCCTAAGATATAAATCATTTCTATTATAAAAATAAACAGAATTGCTAACTGTCTACTGACAGAAATTTGATGGTTAAATCTTTCACTTTCTAAACCGTTAGATGTGTTTGAGATTTGTGCTAGTCGTTCGATATGCATCAAGATCCGTGCTTTCTAATAAAAATACGAAAAGAATCATGTCACCTGATGGGATGCAGGCGCATGACACATCTACCAAGCTATTATGGTTTTTATGACTTGATGTCAACTTACATCCTATTTATCATATAATTGCATGCTAGTTACATATGTAATTATAGTACAAATATAATGTAATTATTAAAATTACATTGTTCTTTATTGTACTCCGTAGTTACATTTGATAGATTTTAATGATAATTTTCAGTCGAATGTCATATAGATTGTTTCAAAAGTAAAATAAATTTCAGGTATTTTGGTTCTGTAAAGGGAAACGATAAGGGAAAATCAATGGTTTTTCTCTCAAATTAACTGTTGGTGGCCTTTCGATTGTCAAGTCGCTTCTAACTTTTCTCATTGTTGAGGATATGCGTAATGGCTACGTACACGGCATACATATCCGACTACAAATAGAAGATGGATTGAACCCATGTATTATGTAATAAAGTAGGATTCGGTCGTTATGTTGCCTTATATGTTAAAGTATGGTATAGAGCCCCGAACGGATACTAACATGTAATAGAATAGGAAATTGATGTCGTTTCCGGCTAGGTTTTCCTCATTGGAACCCTTCACCCCACCCTATATAAGATGCGCAGAGAGCTCCTTAAGGGCAACCACACAATCATATCATCAAATCAATACAACATGAGAGAGGGGGGAGGCTCGGCACATGAGATGGGCCGCGCGACACGTTGGCCTGTGGAGGAAGTGAAGGAGAGGGGAGGACGAGGCTAGCGGGCTAGGAAGAGTAAGGGGAGGAGGGTGCCCGGTTGAACAAGAACATTTATAAATATTCCAGGAGTTTGGAAGGGGGAAATTGATGAGTTGAAATTTGAAATCAAACTTGATATTTGAACTCAGGGAATTTTGGGGAATTTTTGTAAGCGATGGTTTAGAAAGAATTTGAGATGCACACCTTGGCACATACTTGAAAAATACAAAATATCCAATTTTTTGGCTCCAAGCCGGTCTTCATTTCCAATGCCTCGGGAAATAGGTCGAGATAGATGACAACACATTTTTATCCTCTTCCTTACGGGGAGGCGCACTTCTCTTCTTCTCCTGGCCTTCACCTCCTGCCCGGCCTGGAAATAGAACCCCTTTCTGATCCATTCATTAAGTTTTTATTCAAATAGATTTTCTCAGGCACAAAAACACAGTCATTACAAAGATCGATGCCACCACACCGTGCAGTCGCGCCAGCGCTCCTCTTGTGCACGCCCATGCCATCTGAGAGAAATGGATGGAGGAAGAAGAGAGAAAACGCCTCTTGTGCACGCCCATTACAAAGAGTTGTTTTAGTTAAATTCTCTCTCCAACTCTAATAAAAATAATATTTCAATCGTCTTTATGTCCTGCAGCAAATTATCACAATTTTGAAGTGTCCTCGGGCATTCATGTTTTTTTTGTCTACAAGCAAATACCACACTTTTTCAGTGTCGTGTAGCAATTTTTACCAATAGATTTTTCTTTGGGATCAGAATAAGTTTTATAAATATTATGTTTTTCTTTTAATAAGCCCGCCAGCCACCATAGGCTAGAGAAAATACATAATCTTTATAGGCAGGCTTTCAACCGCTAACAAAAATTGATTTTCGTTAGTGCCTATCTTAAGCCACCAGTCAACGAAAATCGATTTTCACAGGTAGAGCTAGGTTAAGACGACCACTAGCAAAAAATCATTTTCGTCAAAGAAAAATGAAGAATACCCACATGCAGCTCCCCTCTGATCGGCTGCAAAGATTATTTTTGGCAAACAAGGAATGAAAATGCCCACATGCAGCTGCATTCTATTTCCAGATATCAAACCACAAATCAAGCAAATATAGGAAGAACAATCATCACAATACTCTATAATCAATAAGAAACATAGAGAATCCATTCACAATTTCATCTCAGATGTACAAGAAAGATTAGAGAGAAGAGAAGGCAGCCTAGCTTGTCTTGGAGCCGTTGCCAAGCCACGGTCATCGACACCAATGAGCCATAGGGACACTAGCGCTGAAGTGTCCTGAGCTTGGTGGATTTGAGATAGGAAGGTCGGCGCCGCTATATCTAGAGCCAGAGGCCTTGCCCTCCCCCTCATCCACTGGCATTGCTCCCTTCCTTTTTTTTGCCGTGGAGAAGCTCGTCTAGATCTAGGACTGTGAGGGAGGTAGGGCACGTGGGGGCGGAATGCACTCGTCAGACACTTCCGAGCCGATAGGAGGCTGTGCTCGCCGGTCAGTGATACCTCTATGACCAACTCCCAATTCTACGTCTCCGCAACTCTCGAACACTGTCAGCCCTTCCCATTACGGCAACCAAGGCTTACGCGGCGGATCCCCTTCTCCTGATTTTGTTGCAACTCGCTGTCGCCATCGCCGCCGCGGTCATAGTCGCCATCACCGTCGCTGAGAGCACCGCGCGGTGTGGAGGTAGGAAGGATACAGGGAGTATGGAGGGAGAGGGAGGGAGGAGAGGTAAGGGAGAGGAGGGAGAAGAGGGACTTAGCTAGTGTGCTGGCCGGGGAGACTCTGCCTTTTAATACCGTAGTTTTTTTCCCTAAAGGCGGCAATTAGCGAAAACTAATTTTTTGTTAGCAGTGACTTAACAGGTCCCTTGTAAAAACATCCTCGATCTTGTTTGGCACAAGTTTAAGGAGAGACAAATGAAAATATTCCTTGGACTCCAAGATTATTTCTTTGATCTCTTAGAAGGGAGAGAAAGAAATCCCTTGTAAAAACATCCTCGATCTTGTTTGACACAAGTTTAAGGAGAGACAAATGAAAATATTCCTTGGACTCCAAGATTATTTCTTTGATCTCTTAGAAGGGAGAGAAAGAAACCCAGCCATACGAGTAATCATATATATGCTCCCTCTCTTAAGGCTAGATGATCAGGCAATCTCTGACCCATCCTATAGATTCCTGGTTCTCAAAGCTGAGATAAATCTTCAAAGATTCCGGAACCTACCCACATACAACCATGAAGAAATATCTCTCCAAACCATTATAGATCATGGTCTTGTGAATTCCATATATGCAACCCTCGATCAGATCCTTCAATCTGATTTAGGAAACGCTGTGAAAGATGTCTGCAGGAGACTTGGACATGGAAGATACAGGATTATCTTCTCCTCAATACCACCAAAATTCACACCACCTGTTCGTCCAGCAATTCATTATATATATATCATGAATGGACAATTTAATTTTCAAGAAGACGGTCCTAGCAAACTATCGGACGAAGAGGAAGAAATATATACAACAATTGCTAATCATGAAAATTGGAGATTATTTTCTGAAGCTGCAGAAATTGAAGAAGCTATCACCACAGATTATGAATATCAGCTGGTTTTCCAAAACAAAATCACAAGGATTTTTATCAGCAAATTCTACAACCAAAGTTCTGAATACTTTAAGGGAGCAGGACGCATAATTAAACCGGATTTTGGAAATGAATGCTCCAAGAAAAGTTACTACAGAAGCCTGGCTCAGTGGTTTCAGAAAACAGAGCCATCAGAGATCGACACGGTGCAATCAGCACCCATGATAATCAACGAAGATAATGAATAAAGATCTTGTCATCCCCGACAAAGATCACTATTCAAGATAAGGAATCTACACTATTCCAGATAAGATAAGTCTATGGTCAAAAGGCGATATTATGACATCTTTATTGAAGGTCAAAAGCGTCATCATCAAAGATTCTCTCCATGAAGTCTAAAGGGATATCATGAACTCTTTGAAGTCAAGAAGAGATATCATGAAGATTCTCTACCGAGCGCTATATAAGGGGCTCACTATCACATTTCAGAGGCATCGCATTCCACACACAACACATCTCGCTCAACCGTTCCTCTCACCGCTCCACCAGCCATCACACTCCACTCCACTCCATCTAAGTGTTAGTACTATAGTATAACCTAAATAAAAGACTCATGAGAGTCTAAGTGTGAGAGTCTATGTAAGAGTCTTTGTGAGAGTCATGTACCTGTATAATTACGAACGTGTTGTACCAAGTCCTTGGTGTAATCTTCAGAAGGAACTACCTTCAACCTATCAAGGTATATGAATGAACACCTGGACCGTTCTATATAAACCTATTATGTTCTAAATATCTAATTTTATATCTTGTACATAATTTGTATTTACATCTTTATTTCCTGTACTGCATTTATGTTTGCATAATAATATAAAAAAAAATTTAACAACCTGGATTGCCATCCAATTGTCACATACTAATCTCACATCCAAGATTGCATATAGATAAGCATTCCTATCCTCATATCTGGTGACTAGACCCCTAGTCACTGCCCTGGGCAAGAGCTGGTATCAGAGCCAAGTGCTCGTAACCTTCCCAAGCCATCTTCTCCGAAAGTGGGGGAGAGGGGTCGGGTGGCGTGCTGAAGTCGCGGTGATCCCGAACGGTGTGGTTGTGTTCTGAAGTTGTGATTAAATCGTTCTCCATGGCCTCTGGGCAGTTGGGGCAGTCTCCATGAACTCATATTCGTGAGCCATTCAGACTTCTGTGAAGCCATTTCCCTGCATATATATTCAAAATCTCTAGTAGCTTTTAATAAATATTTATCTTCCCATGACGTCTTACCTGGCAAGTCCATAGATTTTGGAAGATATGATGGGAAAGAATCGTCATGTAAATATATTGTATTCACAACTTGTTCTCTCTTGGTCTGAACAAGCTGGTCAAGAATCTCATCTGTGTTAGACGAAAATCTTAGGCTCACCTGTTTGCCCATTATCTTAAATTGAATATCTTCGTTTGTGACTAGGAAAGGACGAATAAGTGATAAAAATGGTGTTCCTAAAATAACATCTTGCTTAAGATTTTTAACGAGTAGGAAAGATGTTTTA